ACAAAACCCCGCAAGAGGACAGCGAACCCCAAGGAACAGAGCCGGCCGCGATGTCGGGAAATACAAGCTGAGCAGCACCCAGCGCCCCTACCAGTGCAAACTGCCTCTTACCTGCCGGTAACAAGGGAGAACAGAACACCCAAGAGCCCAACAGGCGGCCGAAAAACCGAAAGGTAAAACGGACCAGCAGAGGCAGACCCCGAGGAGCCTGTGGAAGGTGGCCCCAAGCCCCAAGGGCAGTACTTACAGGGCACCTAGGGAAGGCAGCCCTAGGCGCATGCAGCCCGAGTACTGAAGATAACTCCTGGCTCTCGCACCCACAAAACTAACACCACACGCAAAGCACAGTGCAGTAGCGACACCGGAGCCAGAGCACACGACCATCGCCTATAGCATCAGCCTCAAGAACTGAGGTGTGGGTAGCCGGCGCGGGGGGTCTGGGGCTCCCCCTTCCCCCTCCCGGGGAGGGGGGAGCTGCGCAGACAGCGGCGCGGCAGTGTGTGACGTCACACTAGTTTGCTTGTTTTCGGTTGGGGAATTGTATCCACTAGTTCGGTTTCAGGTAGCAATTTTAACCAGAATAGGGGTTTGTTTTGGGGCGCTTACCTTTCTGGGTGCCTGTTCCGGTCGATGGCAGACATAGAATGCTTCCAACTACACGGGGGCTTCTATAGGCCATTGCTCCCCTTGCCTCTCTGAGGGGGCCCGGTTCTGGCCGTGGTCCCCGGTAGGCCTAAGAACTCCATACACATGACTGATGCCAAAGTCTGACATTAGCATATCAGCCTGGGATAGCTCCGGGGGAGAGGACGGGGCTTCCCCCAGAAAATCCAGTGATTCAGACGGGACAAGTCTAAAATGAACTGCAGATCTGCAAAGGCAATGGAAACAAGTGAGAAACTCACCTGAGGTTGTTTCGACCACGCCCAAGCACACCCAATCCAAAATAACCTGACGAAGCAAAGGAAGAAGCCTGCCCCACCAAACACCAAACCCTCCGAAGGAGGAGGGGGTCACCCAACACCACTGCAGGCTGGAAGACTCAACCTGAAACGGTCATGAATCGTGGAACCAAGCAAGGGCAAACAGAGCCAACCTTCCCCCAAACGCCCCGTCAAGGGAAAAATCCACAGGAGGGCTGGTGATCTTTCTGAGAAATTGACTTGTGAGCAGAGCAAGCACTGCACCGACCAGACGAAGACGACTCTGAAACAGGTGCATGCTCAGAATCTGGCACCAGAGGCCCACCTTGACCAGCAGATACCTGAACCCTGGCACAACCTTTCTAGGAAGCTAGAGAGCGTGCACCCCGATCACCAACAAATCCAAAAGAGGGCAGTAACTAACCGAAGCCGCCTGCAAAAACTGAGTCACCACCGAGTCAGCAAATAACTGCGTACAAAATGGAAACAAATACCTAAGAGCCAGGGCCCAAGCAGAATCCACAGACAGAGCGAGGATGGCCTGCTGACATGCGAGGCGAGAGGCATAAAACAGAGACACTGCCTCCTGGAGGATAGGCGCAAACAGTTTAACCAACGCCACTAACGCCCTAGCCGCCAAAGTCAATGCCACAGATGATGGCCCGGCATTCAATGCCTCCACATCCTCCACAACCCAGTTCAAAGACAGCTTGAGGAGGGAAAAGAAGCAGAGGAAAAGAAGCCAAATGCCCCGAGCACGAAGGTCCTTTGCAACCAAAGGAGCCGAAAGGGAAGAAATCTGGACGTGCAACTGCAGCAAGCCCACCTTCTGAGGAATCACGGGAGCATACAAGCACGCATTAAGGTGTTCAAATGTGCCCCCTAAGTAAACCTGCAACACTGAAGTGAGCTCGCGCAACTCGAGCGTGCGGGTACGACAGAACATATGCCACACCCCCAATGAAGAGAAAGGGCAAATCCACAAGGGCCGTGATGAGGATTTGAACCTGCGTCCGAGAACATCCCAAACGCTGCCTTAATCGACTGAGCTATACAACATGGTAAAAGAATTGCAACCAGAAATTCAACTGAATTTACTTGGATCCTGCAGCCTCTCCAAGACACAAACCAGGATTTTACACAATTCCCCCATGTATTTGAGCTATGTCTTTCTGGTTGCAATTCTTTTACCATGTCGTAGCTCAGTCGATTAAGGCAGCGTTTGGGATGCTCTCGGACGCAGGTTCGAATCCTCATCACGACCCTTGTGGATTTGTTCATTTGATGCATCACGCGTTTGTGATCACTCCTGGGCACTGCCCAACGCACAGTAGGAACACCGACTAGGTGAAAAGCCTGTCAGGCAACCGAGACCAGAGTAAACGTCCACCCCGTTTAGCTTCAGCCGACAAACTAATAGTCCAGCAGCTGGCTTGGTAGGCTAGGACCCTCCCTCCCGCCTCCTGGGACGGGGGGAGAATCGACCCGCAGTGTGATAATGTGTTGGTTGTTTTTTTGTTTGTTTTTGGGGGAGTTTCTAGCCTTTGTTCAGTCTCTGGTTGCAGTTTTCATACCAGTTGGCATCTGTTTTGGGGCGCCTACCTTGCTGGGTGTCTAACCACAGTCGATGACAGACACGAAACTTTCATACAAGGAAGTTTCATAGGGCATTGCTCCCTGTGCCTTTCTGAGGAGACATTGTTCTGACTAGTGGTCCCCAGTAGGCATGACAACTCCCTATGACTGAAGCCCCATACTAAGATTAGCTAATATCAGTCCAATAGCTCCAGGGAGCCAAAGGAGCTCCCTACAGAAAACTCAACAGGAGGTTCCAGGTCGTCTTTAAACCAGAACCAGATATGTGTCCAAGTGACAACAGATGGCCAGAGGTAACACTAGACAGAATTGACGTTAATGTAGAAGAGGTAGAAAGACACCTGGAGGAACAAGATGTAACAAGAGCTGTAGGATCAGACCAGATATCACCTTGGGTATTGAAGGTAGCTGCAGGGAGCTTATGTCACCCATTAACTATAGTATTCAACATTATACTAAAGACGGGGGAGCTACCAGAAATTGGGAGGAAGGCAAATATAATTCCAAAATTCAGAAAATGGGGGACATGTGAAGCATTAAACTATAGACCAGTGCCATTAACATTCATTCCATGCAAGATTCTAGAAAAAGTAATCATAAAAAGGATTGTAGAACATTTGGAGAGAGAAAATTTTATAACATAAGCACAACACGACTTCAAAAGGGGGGAAAATCATTCTTAACAAACTTTGCTAAATTCTACGACAGGGTCACTAATATGGCGGTAGACCTCCATGCTGGCATAGTACCAGCAGCTTCCAAATTATGTGGCCCCCATTTCCCGATTGCGAGGCTGTGGGAGCGAGTGCTTTTGGCTGGACTTGGATCAGTAGGGTTTCTTTATCTCTTCCCTCTGGCCAGCTCTTACTTCAGGATCTGTCAAGACTGGGCACGTTCTCCAGCAGGGTATTGTTGGATAGTCGTTTCTCAATGGTTCGAGGCTCTCAATCAATCTACATGTTTTTGACTGAAGTGAAGGTGGTCAATCTTTTGGTCTCTTCCCTGTGGGTTTCATTGCAACAACAGTATGAGGTTTGTTCTCATTTTTTTCTCTCCCTTCATTGCTTGTGCACATTTTCTGTACTAGTCATCCTGTCTTATTCATCTGTTTGTGGATAGGTTTCACATGCCAAATTCTGTCACCTCATGTCATTTAGCCTTGGCGAGCCACTTTTCTTGGCATTTGGTGCTAACATTTCATTGGTTTCATTTAGCAAGTTGGCTCGGGTATTATTCACCCAGTGCCTATTTGTGCTCTTCCTGAGCCATCTTGGTCTTTGGACACAGTTTTAGTTTTTCCTCTCATCTCTTCAGTTGTGGACATTTGCCATTACCTCCCTCTAGTGATGTGCGGGCAAATGCTCCAGAGCAGTTATGGATCTGGTGTCACTTGTTCTAGGGCCCCATTTGCCTCAGGTTGTCTGTAGTGTCATCAACTTTAGCCAGCCTATAGTCTATCCTCAGGCCAATAATGTACATAAGTTTGCACCTCTGTCCATGGTATTTTTTAGCACGTCTTGAGCAGATAATCGGCACCAAGATTTTGGAGGTCCAACAGCGTGCTAGCAGTTTGTTATTTAGTGAATGTTGCTAACCCATGCTGGGCTTGTGTGACTTTCAGTGGTTAAATTGTTGCTAATTTGCCTTTCCTGAGGGAAAACTCGCCAAGGCCGAAGAAGAGCTGCAGAGGTAACTTCTGCAGCTCTCCTCTGCCCTTGGTGAGTTCCTCTTTGTTTTTTTTGCTGTTGTGACATAGCACCAAAGAGCCACCTAAGGATATCTTCCAGAAAACCATAATTTAATGTAATGAAATGCCTCTTTCTGGTGGGTCCTGGTGACTCTTTGGGACCTTCCTGTCCCTTCCCAGTTGAAATGCCTGGTGGGACCTGGTGACTCTTTGGGACCTTCCTTTCCCTTCCCCAATTCAAGGGCTTCAATCTTCAAATTCTTGGCTATATGACTGAGGGGGGGGGGGATTATTGGTGGTTCCAGTAGTACATATTTTCTGGTGATGCACAGGTGGAACCGACATTAGATTTGTTTCACCACTAAATGATATGTGAATCTTGTGCCTTTGCCGTCCTGTTTTTATGGTCTGTTTACCTAGCTGTTGTCCGTTTTAACTTGTTCCCCTTTTCTGGTGGCCTTTCCTGGTCAGGGTGTTTTACAATCCCCTGCTCCTTGAACCTCTACAGAGGTTTCGGTTTCTGGTCTCCTGGTTTCTGACTTAGGACTCACTACAGCCTGGTGTGGATTAAATTGCGAAAGATTGCCAGGAAGCAAACAGCAAAGAGCCACCAGAATAACACCTTTCATTACATCCAACACTCATTGTTCATTATCCATTCCCCCCCCCCCCTCTCTATTATAACAGGAAGCCAGCAACTTGTCACAGGTTCTCCCATTTATATCACAAGTACATAGAATCTTTGAATATATGCACAGTTATTGGTAGCAACTTTTCAACCTTCAATGACTTACTTTAATAATAGTAATTCCTATGATGAAGTCTTCTTGAATGACAGATCTATTAACAGCATCAATGGATATGATTTCAGCTCCACCTGCCAAAAAAAAAAAAAAATAATAACAAAAAACATTTGCATTGAATATGCTGACATGTCCCTTCAGCAACATCCACAAAGAATTCTTTCCATGGCAGCGAGGATGCTGACGGGGCTAGGAAGGAGGTCTGGCTGTCCTCGACACTACTCTACTAGGCAGATATATTCCACACTCGAGCCAGAATCAAAAGGTTAACCTAAATAAACCACCTACTTCACAACTAGGCCTAGCTAAGCCTTTTACACCATATTTTATGCAGCACTTCTCTTGCATCATAGTGCACCTAATAGCCAATGTCTCTCAAGAGACATTTCCGAGTCCACGTTAAGCACTGTCCCCTCGTGTACAGTGTTATGTACACTGTCCCCTCGTGTCCAGTGTTATGTACACTGTCCCCTCGTGTCCAGTGTTATGCACACTGTCCCCTCGTGTCCAGTGTTATGCACACTGTCCCCTCGTGTCCAGTGTTATGTACACTGTCCCCTCGTGTCCAGTGTTATGTACACTGTCCCCTCGTGTCCAGTGTTATGCACACTGTCCCCTCGTGTCCAGTGTTATGTACACTGTCCCCTCGTGTCCAGTGTTATGTACACTGTCCCCTCGTGTCCAGTGTTATGTACACTGTCCCCTCGTGTCCAGTGTTATGCACACTGTCCCCTCGTGTCCAGTGTTATGCACACTGTCCCCTCGTGTCCAGTGTTATGCACACTGTCCCCTCGTGTCCACCCCTCGTGTCCAGTGTTATGTACACTGTCCCCTCGTGTCCAGTGTTATGTACACTGTCCCCTCGTGTCCAGTGTTATGTACACTGTCCCCTCGTGTCCAGTGTTATGCACACTGTCCCCTCGTGTCCAGTGTTATGCACACTGACCCCTCGTGTACAGTGTTATGCACACTGACCCCTCGTGTACAGTGTTATGCACACTGTCCCCTCGTGTCCAGTGTTATGTACACTGTCCCCTCGTGTCCAGTGTTATGTACACTGTCCCCTCGTGTCCAGTGTTATGCACACTGTCCCCTCGTGTACAGTGTTATGCACACTGACCCCTCGTGTCCAGTGTTATGCACACTGACCCCTCGTGTCCAGTGTTATGCACACTGACCCCTCGTGTCCAGTGTTATGCACACTGTCCCCTCGTGTCCAGTGTTATGCACACTGACCCCTCGTGTCCAGTGTTATGCACACTGTCCCCTCGTGTACAGTGTTATGCACACTGTCCCCTCGTGTACAGTGTTATGCACACTGTCCCCTCGTGTCCAGTGTTATGTACACTGTCCCCTCGTGTCCAGTGTTATGTACACTGTCCCCTCGTGTCCAGTGTTATGTACACTGTCCCCTCGTGTACAGTGTTATGCACACTGTCCCCTCATGTACAGTGTTATGCTCACTGACCCCTCGTGTACAGTGTTATGCACACTGTCCCCTCATGTACAGTGTTATGCACACTGTCCCCTCATGTACAGTGTTATGCACACTGTCCCCTCGTGTCCAGTGTTATGTACACTGTCCCCTTATGTCCACTGTTATGTACACTGTCCCCTCGTGTCCAGTGTTATGTACACTGTCCCCTTATGTCCACTGTTATGTACACTGTCCCCTCATGTACAGTGTTATGTACACTGTCCCCTCGTGTCCAGTGTTATGTACATTGTCCCCTTATGTCCACTGTTATGTACACTGTCCCCTCGTGTCCAGTGTTATGCACACTGTCCCCTCGTGTCCAGTGTTATGTACACTGTCCCCTCGTGTCCAGTGTTATGTACACTGTCCCCTCGTGTCCAGTGTTATGCACACTGTCCCCTCGTGTCCAGTGTTATGCACACTGTCCCCTTATGTCCACTGTTATGTACACTGTCCCCTCGTGTCCAGTGTTATGTACACTGTCCCCTCGTGTCCAGTGTTATGTACACTGTCCCCTTATGTCCACTGTTATGCACACTGTCCCCTCGTGTACAGTGTTATGTACACTCGCCCCTCGTGTACAGTGTTATGTACACTGTCCCCTCGTGTACAGTGTTATGTACACTCGCCCCTCGTGTCCAGTGTTATGCACACTGTCCCCTCGTGTCCAGTGTTATGCACACTGTCCCCTCGTGTACAGTGTTATGCACACTCGCCCTTGTATCATATCCAAAAAGAATATAGGTTGCATAAATGAGATAAATTACATACCAAAACAAAATACATTAACCAGCTATTACTTGTCCTCAGAATACCTTACCTGGAATGTAAGTAAAAGGGACTTCTCTCATGCATGGTCTCCCATTGCTGTATTCTAAACAGTACACCTGAAATACAGGGTAAAAGAAATCTGTCACGGCAGTTAAGGATTTATTAGTAAAGGTATGAAAAGTGTTGGTATATTTGGAGCTGCTTTGAGCATTCAATGTGATTTTTCCTAAAATATTTCAATATTTAACACTTTCAAGATATACAAAATCAAAAATGAATAAGTTAACAGTTTAATGAAAATTTTTCACAAGAGAGGAGTTGTCTTAAGGTAGCCAGTGAGCACAATTTTCAACCAAAAAAAATAAGACTGTCAGGAAACAACCCAGCTTTAAATGCAATGAAATGCCCCTTCCTGGAGGAGCCTTGCTCACTCCCTGAAGCTATCTTGCCGAGATTGCTCCATACTACAAGATCAAACGAGTCACAGAAGTTCTGTTTGACCTACCAGGGACCAGAGCCACAACCTGGCCAGGCGCAGGGAGCAAGTCAAAATTCCCCACCCCACCAGAAAACCCTCTAGAAAGTCTGTGAATCTTTAAAGACAACTAGAGGATTCAGAGAAAACAAAGCCTCAAAACTGACAAACAACTCTGCAAACAATTCATGAAGAACAAGGGATTCTATCAAACTAACTTGAAACTCATTATTACTGATTACCACCACCAGGCAGCTCAACCTCATCCAGCTTCCGATCTCAGTTATGGAGCAGATGAACAACCCCGGGAAGACGGGACACCACGAGCGTAGCTCTCATCCTGTAACTACACTTAGGTAATTACCACAAACAGATAACGTGCTTGATACCTGCTTGACCCTACATAACCCTGGCAGAATTTGGATTACCAAGTTCTTACTCAGTTACTCAAGGTACCAAATTAGAAATGACGTCCTCCATGAAATGGACAGAGAAAAGGACCTAGGAGTTGACATCACACCGAACCCGTCTCCTGAAGCCCAAGTAAAATGGATATCATCAGCGGCATATGCCAGGCTGGCCAACGTAAGAACTGCCTTTAGAAACTTGTGTGAAGAATCATTCAGAACCTTGCATACCACATATGACAGGCCTATCCTGCAGTATGCAGCTCCAGCTTGGAGTCCATACCAAGTTAAACACAAGACAAAGTTAAAGCAGGGATGGGGGGGGGCCAGAAGGTTAATGCTAGAAGCAAACTACTACACACAGGGAAGGAAGAGGAGGTGCAGACATCCCCAATTCCGGGTCACTAAACACCATAGGGGGCAAATGGGACATCTAGCCAATTTAATATTCCACAAATGCCTAACCCAATTAAATCTAGCAAGGTGGCAGCTGCCTGAAAAGCTTCCAGCTGCAAAGGAGAATCAGTAAGATGAGAAACCCACTGATAACACACCTCACAGGAATCAAAGTCATAGATGTCACCAACCCAGCTGGTAGCATATCAGAGGCAGAAAGAATGATCATTGCCAGGTAGCAAAGAGGATGAGCGCCCTTTAAACTCACACTTGGCAAGGGCAGGCTCGAGTGACATCCATACAGGTCCATGCCAGAGAACCACAAGTGGTCTACCAGGGCCTGAAAATAGCTAACCAAGCAGAAACATTAGGCACCAGGGCAACTTGCCTAAAGAACAGTCACCAAACCCCAGCATAGCCAAAAAAATGCCTGCCCAGCCAAGCACTCATACAGAGGAATCAAAGATCCGTGACTTGTCCAAGACAAGCCATTCCATCCCAGTTGCTAGGCCTCTCAGGGGAAAACTCCCGAACACACCGCAGTAAATAACTGACTGTGCAAGGGCAGCATTAGCGGACACCCAGGAAAACAACAAACCCTGAGTACATGCAGCCCAAAATGCAACAAGAGCCATGCCCACACAACAAGCCAGATTAAAAACATGTTCGTGAACTGAACAATAAAAGAACTATACACCAAGCAAATGGCCCCTGCAGGACAAAGTTCAAGGATGGCCAGCACTAAGCTTGAAGTGATGGGACTTGTCCATGACTGGAACACTACTGAGATGGGAATCCAGATGAGGACTTGACCCTGGCTGCTTGTTGGTAGTAATCAGTACTAATTTGTTTCAAGATAGTTTGTGTGATTCCCTTGTTCTGTGAATTCATGGTTTATGGAATTGTTTGGTGGTTTTCAAGGCTTCATTTTCTAAGAACCCTCCAGTTGGATGTAAAACTTTGCTGTCTTTTTTGGAAGCCTTTTCTGGTGGGTTGGCAATTCATCCCTCACTCCCTGGGCCTCAATGAGGGGGCTCTGGTTCTGGCTCTGGTAGGCCAAACAGACCTTCCACAACCGATGTGACCTTTTATATAGAGCAATCTCAAAGACAGCATCAGGGAGCCACTGGAGGAATTTTCCCAGAAAAACAGACCGAAATAAAATGCCCTTTTATGGTGGGTATCTCGGTAGCTCCCCGAGCTTAAATGAAGGCTACTGCCAACACTTAGGAATATCACATCAGGATTTTGGGCTCTTACTCTGCCTCCTTTGGAGCCAGGGCCAGAATCTAATGCCTATTCCATGAGGAGGGTGTAGCCTGTAGCCTGCATCAAATACCTACTCAGAACGAAGAAAAAACAATTAAAATATTAGGCACAACAAAACAAGCAAATGTTTGAATGAAAATACTAACTATAAGCTAAACAAGAGAAATGACTACCTGCCTTGGGGGAACTACTCTCACAGTACTGTCATGTGCCCAGCCACCATCAGTGGGTAGCCTAGTTTGTCTGGGCTCCCATAGGCAGCTGTAGGTATATTTATTTATGTACTGGAACGTACTGGAGTGAACGATATGGAAGAAAATGCAGAATAGAACCAGTGAAGAGCAGAGGTGCCATGGGCACAATCAGAGAACACTGTATAAACATCAGAGGTCCACGGGTGTTCAACGTCCTCCCAGCAAGCATCAGAAATATTGCTGGAACAACCGTGGACATCTTCAAGAGAAAACTAGACTGTTTTCTAAAAGACGTTCCGAACCAACCGGGCTATGGTGGGTATGTGGGCCTGCGGGCTGCTCCAAGCAACAGCCTGGTGGACCAAACTCTCACAAGTCAAGCCTGACATCGGGTCGGGCTTGAGAAGTAGAAGAACTCCCAGAACCCCATCAACCAGGTATCAACCAGGTAACATTAGCATTTTAAAAGTACCCTGTACCTGTACTATAATCACCTTCTGTGGTGGATTATTCAATAAATCCCTGAACTATATGATTAACAGATCTCTAACCCTGTTCATGGAGGACAAAAGAATATGTACATATGCTGCTTAGCATTGTAAATGTGTGGCCATGTCTGTGGCAGAAAATAATAATAAAAAGAAAAAGAAAAATAAGCAGCCTCCATCACTGATGAGCAAGCAGAATAGAGCCCCCAAACTCCCACAGGGTTCAGGTAAGGAACGAGGAGCTACAAAAGAGATCCACCAGAAAAAGGCAGTTTTCCACGTAAGCATCTCTTGTGTCACTCAAATCAATGATTAGCAATATTCTTTATTCTTACTTTTCTCTGAAGAGAAGCTACCAAGATTTTGGTAAATCCCTTAGCATCTGTCAGTGGTTTAAGCGTATACACATTTCCTTGTGATGGGAGGCTGTGTAAAATAAAATTCTGTAAGTATATACAGTTCAATGGCACACCAATTAACAATATTTAAATATGCTTTTATGCCTCTCGAGATCATAAATGTAATATTTTGGTTCCAAACTGAGAATCACTTTAGCATAGATCAAAATATGTTGTAATATTCATTGAATTTTAGACAACACTAGCTTTACCTAAATACAGTATGAATATTAATCCAAGAGGCTCCCTACCATAGATAAAACTAGGTCTAAATAATTTATTAATGTTAACAATGGCTAATTTGTTACATAAATTTCTAGCTAATTTATGCATGCATTTCACTTGCCAACCACTTATGCAGAGTATGAGAATGTCTTTATCTCTCTACAACTGAATTGTGTCCAATTCACAAAGGAATCACATTAATGGGCTGTATCAATGAGAAAGTCAGTAGGAGCCGTGATGGGAATGGGAACCTATGTACTGGGTACTCCCAATCACACTCTGGACCACTACACCACTTGGGGTGTACCCAGGTGTTGGGGGTGCCTGCGAGTACCCAGCGCATATGTTCGAATCCTCATGGCTCCTACTGATTTTCTCAACTGTGTCCAGTTTCCTCCAATGTACCCTTGTCGTACCTCGTGTCAATTTAAATTAGCTACCCTTGTCCACCTTATCTATTCCCCTGAGGAACTTGAATGTAGTAATCATATCCCCTTTGTTTCTTCTCCTCTTAGCTGAGCCGTCAATACAGTTCTGGTACTAATCTGGTTGTAAACCTCTGAACTTCCTCAAGTTTCCTTTCATGTTTCATGAGTGTGGGGTTCATGATGGTATGTATTCTATACTCCAGTAATGTCTCATAGGCAGCGAGTATGAACTTGAAAGCTGCCTTCCTTAGATTCCCAAATTATGTTCATATGTTTGCCAACTTTCTATATAACTGACATTATACTGTCCACATGAACTTCTGGTGTTAAGTGTTGGGAATACATTCCCTTCCTGGTCTTTTTCTCTTCTTATTTATTGTAGTTGGCTTTCCCTTATGGTGTAGATACCTACAGGTTTTCTATTTCCCTTCTCTAGTTTCCTTACTTTACGCTTAATAGGATTCAATTCCAGCAGCCATTTATCCAACCCATCCTGCTAAGATTTCCCAACGTCAAGAAAACAGTCAGTTTAAAGTGTCCTCTCCTAACCTACCAGAGGACCCAAAACAGAAAACAGAACAGTACATCACTTTCACGAGTGGCTTACATTTTCCAGTTTGACAATTTTTGGCCTTATATAACGCATACGAGCGAAAAAGCACCGTTCTTTGGAGGAAGAAGGGTTGGTTTATCTGCCCACTCTTGAAGTTTGTCAAGGTCTTCTTGAAGCATTTGCCTCATTCCACATTTCTGGTAGCTCTTCCATCTCTAGCGTAATGTTGAACACTAGTTAATGGGGTAACAAACTCCATGCTGCTTCCTTCAATATCTGGTCTAGTTCTACTACTTTTGCTGCAATCATTTCCTTGAGATATATTTTCCCCTCTCCTGGAGTAACTTAAATTTTGTCAAGTGCTGTTTCTAGTCATCTGTTCTCTCTCCTTAACACCAATCTGGTTCTGGTTTGTAGGCCAGGAACCTCTTGTCGAGTTCTTCATCTACTTCTTTGTCATACTCCAAGAGTGTTCCTCGTTGCTCATGCAGTCTGACCACATGGTCTAGTACCATTGTTTTCCCCTCTGTATATGGTTATGCAACAACTTAGGTTGGCCCTATGCTATTGAGGAGTCACCCCCAGTAATTAACCACTGTTTTCTATGAACCCTTTAATAATAAGATTTACAATTCAGTTATATTGTCTGTGGGAGCATAAGCCTAAAGACTTGAAGGGGTTTAGTACATGGAGTACAGTATTATAGTTTACATAGAGTATACAGTACAGTATAATTAAGATATGGAAATTTATGTATAATATTTCTACTACAGTCATGTTATGGTTATTTCAATGCATAAACAAAATTTATGAATCAGTTATATTGAGGCAAATACATATACAGTACAACATACTGTATATAGAAATACTAATTTTATAGTTAGCATTACAGTTGATCTAGTTAATACATAAAATATATAAAATACAAAAGCCATACCTGAAAAAATGTGCATCGATGAAGTTTAATTTGTGTTTGCCATCATGTTTTGCAAACTCCTTTGCCATTATTGCCTATTATCTTAGTCTCATTTTTCATGTCATCTGAAATATAAATACTATTTGTATTAATACAATATATGTACAGTTACTGAACACCTGGGCTCAAACAGCTCGAGCGTTCCGGGAAAAGGTTGGATAATTATAAACAGGAAACAGCAGCAGGTTGTTTCCTGTTTATACAGTACAGTATATCCAGCTTTCTTTGTTTTTTTTTTTGGCAGGGATATTCCAGCGCGGGCCCTAAGCCTCTGGCTAGCTCATTAAGTGTTGCTTTTTTCTGTTTTACTTGGGCGGAGTATGAGTACAGGTATTTATAACTCGTATGGTCGCTTCAGTAAGGTTTTGTCCCATGTGTTTAACAACTTCTGCTCTGTTGAATCCAAGTTGAAATCTTAATGGGTTTGTAACTGTGCACTGTGTTAGATAATGTTCCAGTGGTCTGTCGGGCATTTCTCTACAGTGCTGACATTTCCCCTCATCTTCTGGAACCTGTAAGCCTATTTCCCATGCACATGGGTATCCAAGCCTGATGTGATGTAAGTGTACTTCTGTTGCTCTACTGCTCCCTTTCATCAAACTAAGTGGTTCATAGTTGGTTGAATTATTGTACCAACCCACAGATCCTGATGTTGCAACTACTGTGTTGTGGTCAATGTACATCTTATGCATTGCTCTGTTTCTAATTACAGTACTTTCTTAATCTGAAATAGACTCTGTGGTATGTAAATGTCTACATTTCTTCTCTTAGTTGCAACTTTTGCAGCTTCGTTTGCAATGTCATTTCCTATTATTCCCACATGACTTGGCACCCAGTTGATAAGTACCCGACGGTCTTGACGTTTGAGTGTTTGCATTAATGATATGACATTTGTGATCAGATGGATGTTATCACGTATTTGTTCACCATGCCCTGAGGGCACACTATGAGCCCCACCATTTCAGCACACAGCGAACCGCACCCACCTCATCGACCTTTAAGGATCACCCTGAATGGTGCCAAACAGATGGAAGAAGTACTAAACAATGCTAGAAAATTACAAAGTGATGAGGAAGGGAAAGTATGGTCATTTAGATGAGATCTTTCAAAAGAAGACAGAGAAAAGCTGAAACTGAACCTCATAGAGGCAAAACATCTAAATGAGAGCAGGAATGAAGAAGAAATCAATTCTTTTTTCTACAAAGTGATAGGGGTAGGCAGACCAGTAAAGTGGTACATAAAGGCAAACCAACAAAATCACTAGAGAGGGGGGGGGGGGAGTGAAGAATAAGGAGAGGGGGGGGAAACATGTTCCTGAAAATTGCATACACCAACATAGATGGAGTGAGATCAAAGATACTGGAGTTAAGTGATGTAATACAGCTGCAGACACCAGACATTGTTGCACTCACAGAGACAAAACTTGAAGATGATATTTTAAATGAGGTCATATTCCCAAGGGGCTACTCAGTTTGGAGATGGGACAGAAAAATTAGGAAAGGCGATGGCATTGCTGTGCTGGTGAAAGAACCCCTAAAGGTAAATAAATAATGATTGGCAATCCACGAGAAGTTGACATAATAGCACTAGAGATCTGCAATCAGGATGATAAACTAACGATCATAAATGCATATAGTCCACCACCATGCAACACATAGTCAAAGACGAAGCTGGATAATAAATGAGAGGGTCTTACAACAATAATGAGAGAAATTATAGCGAGAGCTGATAAAGATAGATTACGACTGTTGGTAGTTGGCAACTTCAACTTGAAATCCATAGACTGGGAAGCATATGAAGCTAAAACAGAGGATTTTTGGACTTGTGGATTCGTAAGCCTCATCCTGGTACCATTCATGTTTCAACATGTTAAACAAGCTACGAGGATGAGGGAAGGGGACGTTCCTCCATGCTGGATTTAATATTTACCAGGAAAGAGGAAGAGATATTTGACATTCAGTACCTTCTTCCCTTGGGTAAAAGTGACCATGTCTTTTTGGGAATAAAGTATGCAATGCATTATAATCTGGAAGAAAATGAGGTTGAAGTAGTTGAAAACCTTGATTTCAGGAGAGGTCATTATAGGGAACTCAGGCATTTCTTTAAGGAATTTGACTGGAAAGACTTGCTGTTAGGACATGAAGTAAATGAGATGTATGTCCAGTTTTGTGAAATATATCATAAAGGCACAACAAAATTTACACCATGGTTTTCGATCTGGAAGATCCTGTGTATCGAATTTGCTCGGTTTCTATAATCGAGCAACAGAGATATTACAGGAAAGAGATGGTTGGGTTGACTGCATCTATCTGGACCTAAAAAAAGGCTTTCGACAGAGTTCCACATAAGAGGTTGTTCTGGAAACTGGAAAATATTGGAGGGGTGACAGGTAAGCTTCTATCATGGATGAAAAATTTTCTAACTGATAGAAAAATTAGAACCATAACCAGAGGCAATGTATCAGACTGGAGAAATGTCACAAGTGGAGTACCACAGGGTTCAGTTCTTGCACCAGTGATGTTTATTGTGTACATAAATGATCTACCAGTTGGTATACAGAATTATATGAACATGTTTGCTGATGATGCTAAGATAATAGGAAGGATAAGAAACTTAGATGATTGTCATGCCCTTCAAGAAGACCTGGACAAAATAAGTACGTATATGGAGCACCACTTGGCAAATGGAATTTAATGTTAATAAATGTCATGTGATGGAATGTGGAATAGGAGACCATAGGCCCCACACAACCTTTATATTATGTGAGAAATCTTTAAAGAATTCTGATAAAGAAAGAGACCTAGGGGTGGTTCTAGATAGAAAACTATCACCTGAGGACCACATAAAGAATATTGTGCGAGGAGCCTATGCCACGCTTTCTAACTTCAGAATTGCTTTTAAATACATGGATGGCGATATATTAAAGAAATTGTTCACGACTTTTGTTAGGCCAAAGCTAGAATATGCAGCGGTTGTGTGGTGCCCATATCTTAAGAAGCACATCAACAAACTGGAAAAGGTGCAAAGACATGCTACTAAGTGGCTCCCAGAACTGAAGGGTAAGAGCTACGAGGAGAGGTTAGAAGCATTAAATATGCCAAAACTGGAAGACAGAAGAAAAAGAGGTGATATGATCACTACATACAAAATAGTAACAGGAATTGATAAAATCGATAGGGAAGATTTCCTGAGACCTGGAACTTCAAAAACAAGAGGTCATAAATTTAAACTAACGAAACAAAGCTGCTGGAGAAATATAAGAAAATTCCCTTTTGTAAACAGAGTGGTAGACGGTTGGAACAAGTTAGGGGAGAAGGTGGTGGAGGCCAAGACCGTCAGTAGTTTTAAAGCGTTATATGACAAAGATTGCTGGGAAGACGGGACACCACGAGCGTAGCTCTCATCCTGTAACTACACTTAGGTAATTATCAGTAGATTGACAGTTGAGAGGCGGGACCAAAGAGCCAAATCTCAATCCCCACAAGCACAACTAGACGAGTTAACTAGGTGAGTATAACTAGGGAGGGAGCAGGTAAACTGGTGGATCACCTGGAGGTTCCACTACACACCTCTTCTTCTTCTTCTTGATAGTAGGTGCAGTTTGCATGAAGGGTTTGTCCTCCCGATGACTGCACCTACACACCTCCGTAGTGTCAGCTGATGTTGTTGTTGAAGGGGCGGCGAGGAGGTCGCTTCGGCACATCCTCACCACTCACGCTTTCTTTATTGACGGCGAGGCACACTTTCTTAATTTTAGACGAATGATTATGAGAACTTATAATTTCAATTAAAATTAGAATTAAAATGTTTATTCATATAAAAGTACATACATAGAAGATGAGTTACAAACATAATGTTGGATTTATAGACAGAGCTAGTACATACAATACCTAAATTTGTTGTTGTTTGTGGACCTGCGTAAAGCTTTTGACACTGTCAACCACCAAAACCTTCTTCTTAAATTACATCATTATGGAGTCAGAGGACACTCCCTACAATACCTCAAATCCTACCTTACTGACAGGCTCCAATATGTTTCTGTGAATAATACAATTTCTCCCACCCTACCCATCAACATTGGTGTTCCCCAGGGCAGCATACTTGGCCCTCTCCTCTTTCTCATCTACATTAATGACCTTCCAAATGCCTCCCAACACCTCAAACCAATTCTATTTGCTGACGACACAACCTTCATTTACTCCAGTCCTGATCCCCTTGCTCTAAATGCCACAGTAAATACTGAGCTAAATAAAGTCCATCTGTGGCTAACTGCCAACAAACTCACCCTTAACATTGAAAAAACCTTTTATATTCTGTTTGGCAATAAATCCTCTAATCAAATAAATCTCAAAATAAACAATACCCAAATTTGTAACAAATTAGATGGCAAATTCCTTGGCATTCTCATTGACCACAAGCTTAATTTCCAGGGACACATTCTAAACATATCAAAAAAAGTTTCAAAAACTGTGGGCATTCTTTCTAAGATCAGATATTATGTACCTCGCCCTGCCCTGGTGACTCTCTATTACTCCCTTATCTATCCATATCTCAACTATGGTATTTGTGCTTGGGGCTCTACTACCCAAAATCACTTACGTCCTCTAATTACTCAACACAAAGCTGCTATTAGGACAATATCCAATTCTGGCCCCAGACATCACTCGGTACCCCTACTTAAATCTCTGAATATGTTAGACATTAAGTCACTGCACATTCTCTCATGTGTATTATACATATATAAAACGCTAAACTATAATGCCAATCCTGATCTCAAAAGCTTCATAGAAGGTTGTATCAGAACCCATGAGCATCACACCAGAAATAAATACAGTTTTGATATTCCTAGAGTACGACTTAATCAAACTAGAAATGCTCTACAAATCAAGGGGCCCAGAATGTGGAATGACCTTCCCAACCATGTTAAAGACTGTACCTCTCTCAACCAGTTTAAGTTAAAAGCGAAGCTATACCTAATAAATTCCCTGTAACCTACCTTACCCTTCTTTTGTCAACCAATGTCTGTTTTTTTCTTTAAAGAGCGCTGTTAGTCGACATAATTGTATTTGTGCTGCTTTTTCATCTATGTTTTCATTTCTTGTTTTCATTCTACTCATTATGTTCAATTAGTATTAAGCTTGTCATTTAAGTTTATCATGCCCGAAACGCTTTGCGTAATAGTGGCTTTAGGCATTGTATGTACTAGCTATACCTATAAGTTAAACAATCCTTGTAAATATTTATTGTATGTATGTACCTTACCTAAATAAAATTGTATTGTATTGTATTGTATTGTATAAAGCTACTAATACGCATTGCATTTCGGGCAAGGTGTAGGGCGGGTGGGGGGGGGGGGGCACTAAGATTAAAGCTTAATACTAATTGAGATTATAGTATAAATTGTGTTGAAGGGGGGGGGGGGACATGGCAGAAATCAGCAATTAAAGAACTTGATCAACAAACATTATTGTTTGAAAATACCAAGACATGGGTTGACATTTAGGGGTAAGGTAGGTTACAGGGAGTTAATTAGGTAGTACTTTGTTTTTATCTTAAACTGGTTGAGAGAGGTACAGACTTTAACATGGTTGGGAAGGTCATTCCACATTCTGGGTCCCTTGATTTGTAGAGCATTTCTAGTTTGATTAAGGCGCACTCTTGGAATATCAAATAGGTATTTGTTTCTGGTGTGGTGCTCATGGGTTCTGTTACAACCTTCTAGGAAGCTTTGAAGGTCAGAATTGACATTACAGTTCGGATTTTTAAATATATAGAGTACACATGAGACGATGTGCAGTGACTTAATGTCTAACATATTCAGAGATTTAAGTAAGGGTACCGAGTGATGTCTGGGGCCAGAGTTGGATATTGTTCTAATAGCAGCTTTGTGTTGAGTAATTAGAGGACGTAAATGATTTTGGGTAGTAGAACCCCAAGCACAAATACCATAGTTGAGATATGGATAGCTGAGAGAGTAATAGAGAGTCACCAGGGCAGGGCGAGGAACATAATATCTGATCTTAGAAAGAATGCCAACAGTTTTAGAAACTTTTTTGCTACATTTAGACTATCCCTGGAAATTCAGCTTGTTGTCGATGAGAACACCAAGGAATTTACCATCTACTTTGTTACTAATTTGGATATTGTGTATTCTTAGATTAATTTTATCTGAGGATTTATTACCAAACAAAATTTGTTAATTTTAAGGGTGAGTTTGTTAGCCAAAGATGAACTTTATTTAGCTCAGTATTTACTGTGACATTTAGAGCAAGGGGGTCAGGACTGGAGTAAATGAAGGTTGTGTCGTCAGCAAATAGAATTGGTTTGAGGTGTTGGGAGGCATTTGGAAGGTCATTAATGTAGATGAGAAAGAGGAGAGGGCCAAGTATGCTGCCCTGGGGAACACCAATGTTGATGGGTAGGGTGGGAGAAATTGAATTATTCACAGAAACATACTGGAGCCTGTCAGTAAGGTAAGACTGAAGGTACTGCAGGGAGTGTCCTCTGACTCCATAATGTTGTAATTTAAGAAGAAGGTTTTGGTGGTTGACAGTGTCAAAAGCTTTACGCAGGTCCACAAATAACCCAACAGAGAACTCACTTTTATCAAGAGCTGCATGTATCAAGTTAATCATACTAATAAGTGCATCGTTAGTGCTTTTTTGGGGTCTGAAGCCATATTGGCAAGAGCTAATTATATTGTGTTTGGCTAGATAAGAGTAAAGCCATGATACATAGTGATATGATCACTACATACAAAATAGTAAAAGGAATCGATAAAATTAATAGGGAAGATTTCCTGAGACCTGGAACTTCAAGAACAAGAGGTCATAGATTTAAACTAACGAAACAAAGCTGCCGGAGAAATATAAGAAAATTCACTTTCGCAAACAGAGTGGTAGACGGTTGGAACAAGTTAGGGGAGAAGGTGGTGGAGGCCAAGACCGTCAGTACTGTAGTTTCAAAGCGTTACATGACAAAGAGTGCTGGGAAGACGGGACACCACGAGCGTAACTCTCATCCTGTAACTACACTTAGGTAATTACACTTAGGTAATTACCTGACGTTAGTTAGTTTTTAGTTTAGTTCATTTATTATGCACCCCATACCCATCTTGTGGGCGGTAGTGGAACGGGTTACAGAGGCACATAATGGGCTCAGGGACTGAACCCCACAATTCATTTAGCTAAGCAAGTTACAATCTTGATGAGCTAGTTACAAAATTCAATATAAGTCATCACATCAACAATGGGTAACACCATGGTAACATAGCATTTAAGAACAGGGTTTTGTAAATGTAGTTGACACAAGAGAATGTGTGGAGGGAGTTAATATTTAGCAAGTTTAGGGATTTAAACAAGGGAGCTGAGTGTTGTCTGAAAGCAGAGTTAGTTATTATTCTGATAGCAGATTTTTGCTGTGTGATGATGGGCTTAAGGTGGTTTGCAGTGGTAGACCCCCATGCACAGATACCATAATTAAGATAGGGGTAGATTAGTGCATAATATAGTGAGAGGAGAGCAGAGTTAGGAACATAATATCTGATTTTGGAGAGTATACCAACTGTCTTAGAGACTTTCTTAGTTATGTGTTGAATGTGGGTGCTGAAGTTGAGTCTCTTGTCTAGGAATAGGCCAAGAAACTTGCCATCATTTTTATTACTGATGTTAATGTTGTCTATCTGTAGCTGAATTGCATTTGATGATTTGCTTCTAAATAAGATGTAGTAAGTCTTTTCGATGTTTAATGTTAGTTTGTTCGTTGACATCCATAAGTGGACTTTTTTTAATTCATTATTCACAACATTATTTAGTGTATGTGGGTTGAGGTTTGAGTAGATAAGGGTAGTATCGTCAGCAAACAATATAGGTTTGAGAATATTAGAGACATTAGGCAGATCGTTTATATATATAAGAAATAGAAGAGGTCCTAAGATGCTGCCCTGTGGCACTCCAACGGTAATTGGTAGAGTGGACGAAGTTGTATCATTGATGGTTACATATTGGTGTCTGTCACTAAGATAGGATCGGATGTAGTCAAGGGCAAGGCCTCGGATTCCATAATGCTGGAGTTTAAGTAAGAGCTAGGTAGTTGTGATTAACAGTATCAAATGCTTTTCTTAGGTCAATGAAGAGTCCAATCGGAAACTCATTTTTGTCAAGGGCTGAGTAGATAACGTCAAGGAGACTAATGATTGCATCGTTGGTGCTCTTTTGGGACCGGAAGCCAAACTGGCAGGGGCTGAGTATGTCGAATTTTAAGAGGTAGGAATAGAGCTGTTTGTAAATAATTTTTTCAAATATTTTTGATAGAATGGGTAGATTTGATATTGGTCTATAATTGTTTATGTCCGCCGGATTGCCTCCTTTATGGACTGGCGTTACTCTTGCTTTTTTGAGGATATCAGGGAAGGTGTGATACTCTATAGATTTGTTGAACAGTAGTGCTATGGGTGGGGCAAGGGCATGGGAGGCGCTCTTGTACACAATGGACGGAATTTCACTGGTGTTCCCTGCCTTGGTTTTTAGAGAGTGTATGATGGACACAACATCTGCCGGGCTGATTGGTGAAAGGAGAAGAGAGTTTGGATAGCTGCCTGAGAGATATGTGTTAATATGTGTCTGAGTCTGTGGGATTTTACTGGCAAGATTAGCACCAACCGATGAAAAGAAACTATTAAATTCATTTGCCA